GGAAAGTGAAGAGAAAGCCAAAAGTGACAGTGGATAGCAAATCAAGTGAAACTTGTTGTGGGTTATTGTGGCAAATACACTGTTTCTTCTTGCGTGTGGAGCTATCACATGATGGAAAAGAGGGATGACTGGCTCAGTGATACAAATCCTGGAATACTGCACTCACTTCTGGATCGTCTGATGCCAGAAAACAGACCAGTAATTCTCAACCAAGGTGCCTTCAGATCATTTCCAGGGTGCCGCGGAGTGCCACAATGTTAGCACGGCTAGGTGTGTACGCATGATTCCCAAGATAAACCCAGAGACGTCAAACAGGAATCCAGCGTCAAAACCATTCTGACTTGTTGCAGTCTTTCCGAGTTCTTTGCAACAGAAGAATTGCTCTATTTTCTGTAGTCAAAAATCAAGTGAAAAGTAAGAGCTGGCATTTTCCAAGTGGTTCCTCAAGTCTAAAAACATTAAGAACCACTGCTATAGACAGACAGTCTGCACAGACTTCAGAGAAAAGGACCAAAAAAAACACAAATCTTGGGTCTGGAAACGTTTTTTTAAGAAGATTAAAAAAAATTAAATACGAATAACTTGGCTGCTGATTTCTAATAAGTATAGGGGATACGGTAAGCGACGGGGTCTCGAACGCTGTCGTTCTGCGGACAGCTCTGTAAGGCAGAGAGCACACGGTGTGGAAGAGCCGGTAACAACTCAAAGGGCTGTGCTCTGCTGACTACTACGGTGGACTCTTCAGAAAATAGTTGGAAAAAGTATGTCAAGTGAAGATAATACAGCAAGGTGGGAAAGCAGTTATTTAGGATGAGCTTGCAGGGTGTAACTCAGCACAGTGGAAAGAAGCTCAGCAAAAAGAGAAATGAGACACACTACTGGGCAAAATTTACTAGCAATGAGATTGATCTGTGGAATTATCTCCAGCTAATGAACCCCCCTTGCTTGGATCAAGCACCTGAGGTCAAGGAACAATCCACATCGGTGGGGTGAGACCAAGGCAGTCTCTTCCATGTCTATGAGCTGTGATGATATTTTCTGCACATGCCTTGAACTTGCATTTTTAATACATGAAATACATGTAATTAATAGACAAAAATGACTAATAGGCCAGGCACTGAAAGTGGAAATTTCAAATTACAAAATCATGTATTCAGTATAATTAAGACACTTTCTCTCTTTATAATGAAGCACTCCCTATACTAACAGTTGGATAACAGCAGGTGTGAGTGGGAAGGACACTAAACCAAGATCATGTGGGGAAATTAGCAGGTGCATGCCTAATATGTTAACTCCATTTGCAATTTCTGAAACTATGTAAGTGTTTTATTTTCAAACTGGTGTTAGAAAGACTGTAAGAAAATAATTAGGCTTTGTCAGCAGTTCCCGTGTTCCCAGGTCACTATTTCCTGCCAAAGCTGAAGTTGGCAGGAAACTTGTTTTATAGTACTTTGTCCTAGCAGCATCCCTAGAGATGAGACAACACCGAACACGTGACACCCAAGTTAACTGCATCCTCGTGACTGAGCCACCAGGCTGTGGCAAAGCATAAGGATTACATACAATCCAGAATTTAAAGTGTACTTCTCACTAGTATTGTCATCAGAGGGCTGAGGGCAACACATGGGCTGCAACTCAATGTTAATTGACTAATGTTAAGACAGTGCTAGTTGTTTGGTGTTGGACCCGTTAGCATTATTACAACCGTGAATTTACTGCTTTTCTGAACCCTTGTCTGGTTTGCAGGGATTTGATGGTGGAGAGAAAGAACACAAGAACTTACACTGATACAAGTCGGTCCCTCTATGGCAAGTAAGGAGACTCAGAACTGTTTCAGACCATCTACAGCAGGCCACGTTGGCAGCTTGCATCCATTGGAATCAGTGGATGATCTTAATGGTTAAACTAGTCATCTACACAGACCACTAATGCAAGTGAGAGAGTCTAGCAGGCTGTATTTATTTGACCACCTCTGAGCAACGTAGAAATTAAACACGTTTCACATTTCTTTCTTTAGAAACATGCATACAGTATTGTATGCACAAGTCTTTTTTATCTGCATGCTTAATTTACACATGTAATTCATGTGAATGCACGTGCAGTCTCATCAACTGTATATGCAAATGGCAGGCTATGATGTGTGCAACCGGTTGCAAATACAGACTAGTTGCCATATTGTGCACCTGCTTTTCTGGAGACTTGAAGTTCAGCTACCACCTGATACTGTATATTGGTTAAAGCAAGACTAGGAGTCAGCCTCCTCATTCTTTCCTCAGCTGTGTCACTATGCGAGAGTGTGACTTTGGGAAAAATTACTTCACATCCTTCTGCTTCATTTTTCCCATCTGTTAAATGAATGCAATTCTTACTTGGTTCATAAGGGTGTTATAAAATGTAATGTTTCTAAAGTGCTGGGATCCTCAGGTAAAAGCAGCTGAGATAGCAGTAGTAATATAAATGCAATGTTATTCCTTAATTACATTTTTTTTAAGCTGCAGTATTTAAAATTCTAGGGTTGCGTTTTGTTACAAGACGTCCAGAAGTGACCAGTATGCTGCGGACCAGCAGCCAACCCTCTTTTATACTGAGTATAAGACGGGTTGGCTGCTGGTCCGCAGAATGCTGGTCACTTCCGGACTGCAGTCTGCCGGTCCGCGGTCTAAAAAGGTTGGGAACCGCTGGCTTAAGGCATGACGGCCCTATCACCCACTGGACACTAACCTAAGGCCTTATCCCACAGACGCTTCCTTCTGGCAGTGTTGGGGTATGGGATGCACAACTGCCTCCAGGCACAGAGAGGCACGAGACACACAGCTTCAATCCACAGCGTTCCTTACAGCCGTGGAGGCCAGACTGACCAACACCAAAAGGGCTGAGAATAAAAAATTAATTTTGCAATGAGTTACCTTTGATACAACTCAGCAATGCATATTATGGGGCCTTTGGGCTGCAAAGAGGCCAGAGAGATTGCTCTGGGCACGGAGAAAGCCAAGGAAAGGAGAGTAACTGAAATGTGCTCAGGTTTGTGGCAGAGTGAACAGCGAACTATGTTTTCCAGAAAGTAACCCAGGTTGAGTAGCATTGTGCACACATCCACCAATACGGACAGTGTAGAGTTGGCCTTGAAGAGGACACGCTGTCTAAGGAGACAAATGCTCTCTCCAGAACTCAGCACTATTCCTTATATTGGCCTCGTGGCCTTAACAGCTGTTCGTTACAAGGCTGCACGTTGCTCATCTTTGCTCACTTGGCCTCTCTCCTTCAGTAACAGAGAAGTCTCTTGCTAGATCCCAACATGCCTCTTCTCTCATGTCAGAGAAGTTCCTCTCATTAGTGAATGGCTTAAGTCTCAACATAAATTAAAAATACAACATATGCATCAGAGAGGGTGCAGGGACATTGCTTTGGTAAAGCCAGACATGTGGAGAAAAGTTGGAAAAATTACCTCTGTAATCAAGTCACTGATTACTTGAGTTAATTTTGTTCCTATTTGTTTTTCTTTTCAAAATACTGTTCAGTATATTTTGCTGTTGTAAAATTTTTTGGGCACTTGGAGTATTTGCATAGGTATCTCTTTTTTGCTATTATTTAACTTATGAAATAAATAAATATTAACACAAGAGTATAGGAGGGTTATTCATAGATTGGTAGGGGCTGGAAGGGACCTTGCAGATCATTGGGTCCAACCCCCCAAAGACTATTTGCTATATCCGGCATTAGTCATTCTTATAAGACTACTTGCTATATCCAGCATTAGTCATTGTTAGTGCCTCCTTTAATCTCATTGATTTATCGAGATATCATCAAACTCTCTTGTTGTACAAATATACAAATATCACATTTATCTAGACTTTCATTTTGAAAGCAGGTGCCTGAAGTTAGGCATCTTAATTAAACCATGTCTATTTATGAAGCTCCCATTATTCTTAGAGGCCACTTTTAGGTAACTCTAGGCAACAACATTTTGTAAATATAGCTGCAGTATGTTCTCCCTCCGGAGTTTACAAGATCAACTTTTTGCCCTTTAATAGAACATAGCATTTTTGTCTTAATTTTAACTCAGTTGAGACACACATGCACACGCACGCACACACGTTATGGGGCATGATGTGCTTGGTTTTGTTAACAAACAATTCTAATAAGAAACCCCTCCGGACTCTGAAGCAAGGGAGGTATTTCCATTTGACATGGTGGAGTGGAACCTATACAGAAAGCTCTCGGGGCTAGTTTCAGTCTTTTTAAGACAATCTGATGCCTATGTCAAAATATCCTAAATAAAGATTATAGCTGTGATTTTTTTTCCCCCACCTCATGAAGCAAATAACTTTTTGCTGTGCCCCATAAGACATATTTCACTGTCTGTGAAATAAGAAAAGGCATCTCCTGAGGCTATAAAAGATGTCAAGAGAAGATGATCACTCGTAACAAATCTTAGAACGGTATTTCAGGCTGCCCTTATTAATCAAAGACAATCCACAGCTAGTGCAGTCCTAATGCCTTCTCTGTACAAGACACAGCAGACTGGTTTTAATAAGGAAGGCATTTTTAATTATTTAAATGGAAAAATATTTAATTTTTTTGCAGCCATTTCCTAAAACTCTTTATAAATTGGATCCAACTATTGAAATATTTGCCAACGTGAAGACCAAGATGTTCAGATGAGAACACACTAAGAGTTTTTTGCAGCCCTGGAAATAATAAATATCTGGCTTGCTGATTTTCAGACACCAGTAAGATATCTGCAAAGAAATGCAGCTCAAATATCTGCCTCCCAACCCCATCCCAGTAATCTCACATAACTCATTGTGGGTGGAATAAAGCCAGCACAAGGACATTAGCCTCCTTTGTGTTATTACAACTGTGCAGCCACTTAGGTATTTATTACATGCTAATATCTCAAAATCGGCATTTAACGATTCTTCACCAACTGGATGACCGTGCTGACTCTTACCAGCTCTCCGATCAAGCACATCTAGAGATTAGCTGTCCTGGTGACTTACCTACAACAGGAAGGACAGGTGTGTGGGTCCTGCTGGAGATGAAGTTAACCATGCTCCAGGAATAAACGGGCTGCGGAGCTGTACAAAGGCCCCTTTCATCGCCTAGGATTGAGCGCATCGCTTCCAGCGAGTCGGCCGGTCTCTGCCACAGGGAGCTGTGAGACGCTCCACGCTTCCACTCCACTTGCCAGCAGTTTGGCTCCAGCGTGCCGGACTTCACAATTCAGCCAGAGCTGTCAATTCATGACAGCACGATCCCGGTAGGCAATTCCTTTGGGTTCGTCACAGACTAGATGCCAGGCAGTCTGTTCCCTGGAAGAATCTGCAAGTCTGTGCTGCAGTCTTGCTCTCCATAAGCCAGTCCACTAGAGCGTCCTAATGGGTCACAGCCGGACAACCCCTGCGAAGCTCTGCTCTCCAGCACCACGTGGATGACAGCTAGCACCAGCACCGGTGGAGGATTAAATACATTTCCTTTGTATTCAGCTGCATGAACCTGACTGGCAAGTCAGAGGCATAGCTGCTCCAAGTTAAACACTTTGGACCTCCTGCCTCTTGTCCTCGCTAAAAATTAACTCCCTACAAAACACCGTCAGTGCCAGGAATACCTCAGTATCGCCATCTGTCAGCTGGAGAAAAGCCCAGTAGCTTCAGCAGCAGAGCTGCGCGGGGAGAGAGGCTGTCTTCAGCACTGCCTCTTCTCGAGGTATGCATTGCTGCTCTGTGTAGTGCAGCTCTTAGTAGGGGCAGGTAAGCGCTGCCCCACAGCCATAGGCAGAGACACAGGGCTTCTGGTCGTTCCTTGTAACAGGGCCTGTTGCTAGAGACAGGCCAGGAATTGCTAACCTCACGGGCCGTAGTCCTGTACCACCACCCTCTTCCGAATCTCCTGCTGAGGAAGGCTCGGCCAGGGGAAGACGGTGAACGCTCATTTCCACTCCCTACCGCACTTACTGGGAGAAATAAAGTAAAACATTTTTCTGTGAACGCTGAAGCCATTATCAGCAAGGCATTGCTTCTGATGAAAGTAGCGGGGCCACAGATCCTGCTGGCTACAGAGGCTGCAAGGCTGTAGCCTCGGAGCTACGTGTACGCGTTATCTTATTCCTACAGCGTTTTATGCCAGCACCAAACAGGTCCTCCATTGGGCATGACCTTGACAGAGAAGCATGGGTCAAGCTGCACAGACTGAGACCTGGATACGAACGCTTCAAAACTACGTTTTACAAGATGCACGTCTTCGACAGCCCCCTGCATGACTGCAGCATCCAATGAACAGCGCAGCACTTCATCGGAAGCAGCAATCTTTACAAATGCCCCGATGGGGTAGACTGAATCTGCACTTCGAGCGATAACACCAGACAGGGGCTCATGGATTTGGAAGTTGTTTTCTGATGCCATATGAAAGTAGCAGCAAGGCATGAAAGGAAAACTGAACCAAATGGAATATTTAGCAATCTATGGGTCACTTTTTGTATCCCTCATCTCTCCAAGTGCTTTACAAATAAGCTATAGGCTTTGAATAATACATATATGCAAAGATTGCTTCTTCCAGCATTCACAATATAACCACCTCCAGGCTGGAACGTAGCAGCCAGTATACCATAAATTGTTTGGCTGTGGGACATGAAGAATAGCATGCCCAACTGTAGTAATGAGGGAACATCACTAACAAAGTTGGAATTTGGCCTGGATGCTACGGGTCCCGCTGGTTCCATGGAGGCAGCTCCCATCGACTTCACTAATTCTGCGCTGACAAAAAAACAGGGTAGTCAGCCTTGAGAGTGAAAGAACCTACTTCTGCAGAAATGGGACTGTGGGGTACTTGGGGACACTTGGTATTAGTCTCTATGGACTGTGGGGCATTTGGTATTAGTCTGTGCAGGCGGTGGGGCACTTGGTATTAGCCGGGAGTGCCACCAGGAAGACTGTTCCTGCAGCAGCACAGCCGGAAGGGCCCTTCTTGTGCAGGAGTCACCACCACCGTATCCAGCAGCACCTGCTGCCATGTTTGGTAGCAGTTATTATGCATCCAGTACTACGCAAGGACTTGGCTAGTGTAATGTTTTTCCCCTCCCTGTCTTTTGAATAGACCTGAGCATTCCTCTAATTGAGCAAGGATATTCTAGTTGTCTGGTTTGGAAAGTTTAGTCTGAGTAGTTAGACTAGGACAGAGACTCAGGGGTTTTGGGGCACAAAATGCTCTTTGCACTTGTATATGTGAATACCAGCATCTGTGCAACTTGCATATATTTCATGGCTTCCTCTACCCCAACCCTGCATATATTTACTTGTCGTCAAAGGCTTTCTTTTCACTGCCAAAAAATTGTGCACTTCTTGTGGAGTAAAGTACATTAGCTATTCCTGTGTAAACATCCCACTGAATACAAGACACTGTTGTTATTAACAACAAGAGAGGGAGGTAACAGTCCTGGGCAGCAATGTAATATAAACTTGACCTTGCCAACAATAGTTAAAAACTACAGTGGGATAATATTAGTGATTTAAAAAACAAAACCGCTTTTGCAGTAGAGGCAGCTTCTCTCCAAGTTCCTTGGAACAGCAACCCTAATCTACCAACTTTGTATTACACCCGCAGAGCAGGGGCTGCTAGAAAGCTCTAGTAATACTGATCATGAAAGACAGGTGGCTATATTTAGTTTTATGTTACTAGCTGTTTATGGCATCCCTCGGACCAAGTTTGTATCGGTAGCGAATTTGCCACTTGAACGTCGCCCTTCCTGGGCAAACCAACTGAACTGTAGCAGATGTCTGCAAAATAAACTAACTGATAGGCATACCACGATAGAAAAAGTGTGAAGTTGTTCCATTTTTGGTTAGAATAAGAATGTATTGGTACCAAATCAGAACTCTGGGTAGATATGACAGCTTTTATTAGACCAACTAGATTATCTGCAAAAAACATTCCTTATTTGCAAGCTTTTGGGCACGTTCATCCTTCTTCAGGCATAGGAGAATGCAAAAATCACAAAATTTCTCCTAGGTGGAAATGAAAATTCATATTTCACATGAGAGCTGAAGGTGTTACAAGATCTCCTGGTTGGAAAAGCTCATTTTGAGCAAATTAGGCTGAGAAAAGTTAGAGCAGTCTATTTACCTAATAAAAATATCACCTCTACCCAGTTCCGATCCCTTTTGCCTGTACACCAACATGACCACAACCTGTGTCCTTGGTACAGAATCAGCCCTCACTTACAGAACACGTCACTCTCAGAGGTGACGAACTGTGATGGAAGGCATATGATAATGACTAGTTACAAAAGAAAATCACTCAGAGAAGAGGATAACGATGCCAAAGAAATCAGGAACCATTTTCAGGAGCTGGCTCCAGGAGCACTAAGTACCCTTGACCGCGGTATCTATGCAGCTCACAGGCCTGTATAGTGTACTGATGCATTACTTTAATAAAAAAAAAGTTAGTAATGGTTTTAAGATGTAGGTCACTGTAGCCTTACTATATTATGCAAGAAGGCATTAGACTTAATTGCCTGCACAGTGCCTTATCTTTGGATTACCATGTTCCTAATGTTTTGCAAGAAACAGTTTTATCCGTTGGTTGCAATGCTCTGAACAATATCTTCAGCACAGATTTAGCTGAACGGGTGCCAACCAAACATTTTTTTCCTTTCTGTGCATGGGCGGCTATGTATCACTACTATAGCAGCTAAATTCCCCCAATTTCAACCCGTACTGAAGTTCTTACCTTTAGAAATTAGGAATCTACTTCTTGAAATAGCACCAGGCAGCCTGGGAAAGTTATGGTCCTGGTCCCAAAATGCACGGGTATAACCTCAACTAAACAGGCTGGCATCAAAGGTCCTCCCCAAGCCAGGCAGGCCTCAGGGCTAGCATGGTTAAGGCATTCCAGTTTCTGTAACCAAGCAGCTGACATGGAAGCAATGCAATTCGCAGTACATCTGGTTGCTTTCAAGTCCCCAGCCCAAATCACCAGGTACCATTTACAGCTGGGTTACCTGGGGGCAGCTTCTGGTATGACTGGAGGGGGACTCAAGCTCATGCTTTGGAGCTGTAGCAAAGTGCCTTGACAGCTGAGCCAGCATGCCCCTTACAGCATGGAGTGGATGTGCCTAACATTCACTGGCAAGCGGTGCTGTTGAATGAATGAGCACTAGCCACTGCCAAGGCCAAACGAGACAACCAAAACTTATGCTATTACTGTCACTTCAGCAACTGACTTGCTCAGTCTACACCCAAATCCCTGAACATCATTTTAATTTTTAATTAAGAGGTTGAACTATTTTAAATTGCCTGGCCCAACTGTGAGAGTAGAGATTGTTCATACAGATTGCCAGAAAAATTTCCCACTTTGTAACCAACTAATGTTGACAGCAAGAGCACATGTGCATACACCTGAGGATAAGCACAGGAGGAAGTCAACAGGGACCAAAAAAGTGGCTGTTTGTTACTCATAGATGCACAAAGGAGAGGTGTCCAGTCCCGTGTCTGAAAAAGACAGACATAGCTGATGTGACGCAAGGAATTTGGAAGATGTAAAAATGAGGAATCTTGCTCAATTATAAGGAAAATACAAAAATAAGCAAAAAAGATTCAAGTCTGCAGTAAAATAACCCAGCTTTAGTGAAACATCTGACAGTTACGATACAGAACTGTGTGCTCATTAGTTGTACAGATGCTTATTAAAACCACCCCCCAAAACCAAGTATACAATGCAGTGTTAAACAGTATCAAGATACAAGAATTCACATTGTACAAGTCATTCCAACTTCAGGGCCGGGCAGCTGCTTAAATTCTTCCCACTGCCACCAGTATTTTCCTTGGATCAATTAAGATGACAAACACATTTCAAACTTGGCTCTACAGAGGCACGTATCTTGTTCCCTTTCCAGTCATCATCTTTATCAACTAAAATTCAAACAGAGATGGGAATAGATTCAAACCCGCATAACCTGGTCTTTATCGCTCACGGGGCCAATTCACTGTTACCCTTTGCATTCGGATGGTGAAGGAACTAGGTTCTTAAAGAGTCAAAAGCTACCAACAACAGTCTATTACACTGGTGCCCTGGAGACCAGTTTTAATTCGGTTACATTCATAAATAAGTGCTTTTGCTTCTGTGTACAGTAGTTTACCAGGATCCCTTTCCAAAATACCAGAAGGGAGCAGAGCTCACACACCCAGCTTTCATTTCAGCAAAATATTTTTCTTGCGCAGATGAGAGTTGAAACAGTACCTTTATTGTGTGGCAGGGCTGGTAACAAACATCTGCGGTGCGAGAAGCTCAGCGTAAAGACAAAGATTTGTTTAGGAAAAAAAATTCCTGAACTAAGAGAGGTAAACAAACTTTGTTAACGCTGCTTTTGTTCATTCAAAAAGTGTTAAACCTAAGTGGGTCCGTCACCAGGTGAACTGAAAAGAAGAGGATGAACCCCAATAACCCCTGCTCCAAAAGGAAGTGCTTATGAAAGATCCAGGCAGACTGCAGTCAGGCTCATGTTAGTGCCAGCAACAACTAGGTGTGTTCCTGCTCCAGTTTTCCATCGTGACCAGCAGCATCCTTGCATTTTAGTTCTAGGCCGTGCCACATGCCTACCAGAGAACGTCATCTGGATGGATCTGTGGAACAAGAGGGACTAGTGCACAATCTGTAAATGAATCCCACTGTACTGGAACCAGGCCTCCAGCAGCAGAAGATACATGCACTGGCTGAACATGTCCCTCTTCTCCCCCTTTCCCCAGGAAATCAGGGGCAACTCAGTGCAGCCAACTCCAGAGCATTAGTGGTAAAGCCTCGTTCCAAGGCTAACGGCAACAGCATCTGTGAAATACCATCATTGTGCAGGCTCAGAGCAAACGGAGAAAGACTTGAAATTCTCATTTAAAATACAAATCACAGTATGTCTTATTAGAAGAAGCCTAGGAGGGAAGATAACTCCTTATTAAATGATAACTAATTGTTCCTCCATTTTTTAAAGGCAAAGAGTCATAGGAAGAATGGATAACAAACCCTTATTGCTCTTAACAAATAAAGAAGTCACCCACCAAGTAACCGTCTGTCAAGAAGCTACATCACAGGGCACGAGACAGATATTTGTGGCTTTACCTCCAACCCACATATTATCAGTCTCATCAGCAGGGACAGACAATAAATGCTCCCCGGACCACCAGGAGACCTTGCTGGCTCAGTGACGGTGGCTCTAGCTGTCTGTTAATATAGTGTTAGACTGAGGGGAGAGTTTCAGTAGAGTGGACGTTTAGTTCTCACTGTGCAAAGTTTATTCTGTGTAGACTGTTAAAAACAAGTGCAACAGAGGAAAAAAGCCTGGTTGGTCCTTCACTGCAAGGACACAGAATTGGGTGAGAGCCGAAAGGTGCCGGGGTTATGTCTACACCAGTAGCTAGGCCTGTGCCCAAGCACACAGATGTGGACCATCTCCACTGTAAACCCTGCAAGCCCAGCTTGGCCCCGGGAGCTCTAATGAACTTCCAGGTACGAGATCGAACCCACCTCCGCTGATCCACACCTGCAGGATCTGGGACTCACCCAGTCACACAGGCACCAAGCACAGAAAGTTGGCCAGCAGCAATCCCACCATTCCCTGTTCCCGATTTCTGGCTCTCCTGCACCCCACATCCTTTTTCTCCTGCCAGAAGACTGTTGGTGTAGTCCGTACAGCTACCACAGTTGCAGACCAAATCCTAGAGGGAACCTGGGAGATATCTGCACATTGTGCTCATGAAATAAGCAGCACAGTGTGAATGGTTTTGGTGCAGACTACAAGGTAGGAAATTCACAGAAAAGCAGGGGGGGGGTTGGCGAGCACGACCAAGGCAAACCCCAAATACTGGTGTAGAAATAACCTGAATTATCCTGCGAAGCTAAGGATAAGAACACTTGAATAATGCTACTGGCACAGGACCCTTACCTGGGATAGCGTTTCTGGTTTATCAGTCGCAGTTACATGCAGCTGGCAAGAGATCTTAGCCTAGTGACCCAGGGAAATAGAGGTTCTCATCCCACACAGTGGAAAGGAGACTAAAACCTGATATACAGACATTATTAGTAGCAAGCACGATTTTAGTTTTCTGCTTGAATGATAAATGCTGTTTTTAGAAATAAGGGTATTCCAACCTAGAAAATATTAAATATGCTGCTTATAACAAGTAGGTGTGACAATTCCTTCCATCCCATATGCTCTCATTGGCTGTGGAGAAACCTCCTTGGCTAATATAATTATGCAGTGTATAAAGGTCAGAAAGGACCATAGTAAATCAGTCTCATCACACTTCTCTGGGAGCTCATGTTCAGTTTCTTATCCATCATGACCCCCAAAGTCCTTTACAGAACTATTGTAGCCTGTCCTTCATTTCTACCTGCAGGAATTGATATTTGGCCACATTTAGACACGCTGTTTGATTGTGTGCAGCTCCCCGGTCAATCTAGATGTCGGCGATTTGTCCTCTTCATTGTGTGCCATTCCCCCAGTCTTTCAGTTTTTTACAAACGTCGTTACTGCTGATTATTTTTCTTTCATGTCTTTGATAAATGCCAAATAGCATAATGCCAAGAACCAACTCCTACTGGGCTCCACTAGAAACACAAGCACTTAATGAACGGTCACCTTTTATACCTGCTTTGTGATCTATCAGGTCATTTTAAATCCATGTAATGGGCCATGTTGGTTTTTGTATCGTTCTACTTTATTTATCCAAATGTCTTGCAGTACAAAGTCTCGTGCCTTACAGAAGTTTAGGCATCACATCAGGACTATTACTTTTATCAGCCAAATCTCTTGTATCAAAAGATATGTTAGTTTGAGAAGAACTGGAGAGCTATTTTCCATAAACCCAAGTTGACTGAAATGTAACCAACTCTATTTTTCTGAGCCCTGTACCACTCAGCTCTCCTTTTGTCTGTGATCTATGGGCCTGCTGACTGGATGTCATAACTCAGGCTGCCTGTTTACCTTTTATTTATGATAGGAATTGGGGAATTTGCTGGTGGGTTTAATCTGGCTTAAATTTACATCTATCTTGGAACACAACAAAAAAGCAACTGGGCTGACGTGTCCAATTTCTTTCCTTGTAGCAGTGAGCCAAGGACAGCTTGCAATGGTGGGATGCCTAAGGATTGCTAGCAGTCTTTAGCGCCATGCCACACAGACGTCAGAAGCTCCATATACCAGATCCCAGACTAACATGGCAGCTACACCCTTCTGAGTGCCCGAAAGAAGGGTCTTTAACCAAACTCCTCTTGTGTGGAATCCCAACAATAACAAAACCAAATGCTGCCATCCTGGAAGCTCAATAACTAACACCAGAGGACTTTCTCACTTACTGTGTATTGATCTCATGGCCCTGTACATTTAAAAAATGACACTTGAATTCCCTGAGGTTAAGTCAGCTAAACCACAATGCAAGGAAGTGTGCTACCTGCACAGGAGGAGGAAAGAAGAACAAGGAGCTAGACTGATCTATCTATCTACACACACACGCATGCACACACACACACACGCTTTACATATGGGAGAAAAGCATGCAACAAAAGAGAAGCAATGGAGCAAAGAAGGCATTTCTCACCTGCTAAGATACTCTATTGAAAACCAGTGTCAGAGCAATGGTAAAGAGAACCACTGGGGGATGTTAGAACCAGAACACCAATTCCCTTTTCCTATAAGTTGCTCTGTTATGTCAATCACAAGCATTACTTCTGTTCCCTCTGTGCTGTAGGTCAGGAAAGAATAAGGCCTGGCAATCCACAAAACACTTTTTTTCCTTGTATGGGGCCAACTACACAACAGACAGTGGTGGAACATCACATTCCAGTTCCAGTCCCAAGAGCATCATATGTTGCTCCCAAGCTAGGAGACTTACGTCTTCTTCCTGTTTTGGTCCTGCTTAGCCCCACATTTTAGATAGGGCTGAGCTTTTTCTGAAGTACATGCGGCAGACCAGGAGCTCAGGAACAGACAGAAGACCTCTGTTCAAAGAGGTCAGTTATCAGAGCTGTTTCCTAATATTACTGCACGTAGCAAAAGCAGGCAGGGGAGCTGGGGCCCCAGGTATGACAACTGTGAGCTCTCATTTTACAGGACAGGCAGGTTAGAAGGGACAGGTACAAATACTACAAAGTGAACTGGAGCATTTTTAAAAGATACAAACATCTATTTGCTTAATCGTTTAAAACCAGACACATACAGAAAAAGGCAGCGAGAGCAAACAATTTCCTGCTGCTCTTGTTATTCTTGCCTGCATGCACCAGGAAAGCAGTATTACTAGTCAGTCCTAGAACGTCTTTGCTGGATAGGACAGGAGACAGTTGGCAGTTTCTCTCTGATGACACTCATATGAAGGACTGAAGCAATTCACAGGCTCACACACTAGCAGCTGTTTCATGTTCTCTGGCTTAACAAAAAAAGGCATTGAAAGAAAAGTTGCCCATAACTTACAGAAAGAGAAAGAAAGAGAGAGAGAGAGAGATGCATGCACGAACACGTACTGGAATAGTAGGAAGTTGCACTTGCTCCATGCACCACAAGGAATGTGGGTCCCAGAGTTAGGACAGACACTGCCTGACAATAACTTGGCTCTGCAGGCATCAGCGTTGCTAACAGACTCAGAGCTAAAAACAAAATATGCAAGGTTTAAGGCAACCAAAATCCCACAACTGCTGTGTGCGTGCATACACTGCCTCTCATTCTTGTGCGTTCACTCATGCTTCTCAAAGTTCCAGCGAGGCCAATTCAAGAGGACTTCCCATCCAACATGTAATAGCGATACATTAAACCTATGACCAGGGCTCCAAGGAGGGGGATTAGCCATGTTGACCAGGAACTAAAGGGAAAAAACCCCCACACACAAGACAAAAAACAGAAGAAAGCAGCAAGTTAATAATTTATTTAACATACCCTACATTCATGACTGCCTGGATCTAGCAAATTCTCAATCCTCTCATAGTAGTCGGTGAGAGACCAAATACCTAGACACCAGTAGGGGCTCACCTTCAGCAAGACTGACTTCTCAGCCAGTATCCTCATGGAAGGGTAAAATTTAGGCACCTCTCCTGATTCAGTGCTACAGAGAACTCCCCTCGTCCCTGGTGGACCCACAATGTGCACATCTAAGTGCCACTTTAACAACAGGGCACAAATCTGTGGTGTTCGCCTAAATCAACCCCACTATGGAATAGAATAGACTGCAGCCACAGCCGAATAAGGTGATGGTGTGGACCAGAGAGTGTAGATCTAGGATGAAAGGAGGCTCCTTTTGGACAGGATGGAGCTCAGTGCGGAGGGACCTGTCCACAAGGACTAACTACTTCTCCATGTTAAAGTGGTGACCTACAGCTCTGGGTTATCTTGCATTCAGTCAGTCTAAAAATAGTAGCTCTGCATTTGAGTTCTGGGATTTCTACTTCGCCCACTGAACAAGACAGATGTGCCCCAGATCAGTGTTTCTCAATCTGAGTCACAACCCAAAAGTGGGGTGCAAAAATATATGAAAGGGTTGCGAACAAACTCTACAAATGGATTCTCCTTTAAAGGAGCAAAACATGGGAAACCATGGGTATTCCCTGGCAGGCTGGCAGAGCTCCAGCCTGCAAGGGGCTGCTTGGGCTCCCCCACCCCACACACTGGGGGCCTGGGTGTGGGGGGCAGCAGGTTGGGAGCGAGGGTACTGGGCTGGGATTGGCCACTGATTTTACAAGTGGATCCTGGTCCAAAAAAGGTTGAGAACCACTGCCCTAGATGGACCACCCCTGCCCTCTCACGTTCACATTTCCATATTAAACAAGATACCATACCTGAGCTGGCTGCCAGGTGTTGCATCTGGATCCTGAGGAAGGAAGGGGGAAAAGGAAAAGACACATTATACAAATGGTGGTAACAAAGCTACAAAAGGAAGGGGGAGGTGATGCAGAATAAACCTCCCACTCGCCCTTCCCCACACTTCATCACCGCGGGCATTTTGTTCCCTCCTCCTCCTCCTCCTGGTCCTCAGTCTGACCTATTATGTAAGCACAAGCTTGTTCTAGATCCATCCAACATCTGTCAAGGTGACTTATTCAATCTGCTGCATGCACAGTGGAGGAGAACGTGTGGATCCCCCAGGTCTGAGACAAATCTCTCACCTGTGAGCCTTTCCCCAAAGTGATGTTCCCCTGGACCATCTCATTTGCAGTCACTCTAGCACACATCGCCATCTTTCCCATCACTCAAACATATGACCTAGGACATTTCAACCCCTCCTCTGCACGTGTCTCACTTATCCAGGCAGCCTTCCTAATGTCCAGACAACTGCCACTCATTCCGGCTGCCTTCATCTCCTGTCTTGATGACGGCTCCTCCTGTGCGGCCTCCATGACATATCACTGCTGCTCTCTAAACTAGTCAAGATGGCCTCCTGTTATTCGACCCGTATCATGTGTTCCTTCTGCAAGTCCCTATGCTACATACCCCACTTCTACCATGTCACATTTAACCTTATCCTTCACCTCCAAGTCTCTTCATAACTCTGTCCCTCCCTCCCCCACATTGTTTCTGTGGGCTCCATCGTTATACCGCTGATCTGCCGTGTGTCTGTCCCTTCCCAGAAACATCTTTGCAATTGCAGCCATGTCACTCTGTGTTAATGGTGCACCTTCTTTGACCTCATTTTCAAGCCTACTTCCCTCTCCTTCAAATCATCCCAAGACATGTCTTCCAGGGTACCTACAAGTGTCCAGTCAGCTGTTCATGCCTGGGACAGGGTGCACATGGCTGGGCCCTAGCACACACGCATTTTTTAAAGCAAGTCTGAGTCACAAGCACTGAACTCATAAGACAGGACGGATGCTCAAAACCAGCCAGTCTGTAAATGTCTGTACGTGCAAGCCACAGCACTGGCCTTTGGTGGCATGACAGTTTTCCACAGTATAAAAATACTACATTTTCTTTGGCTCCATGAAAATGATGGAGTGACCAGAGATCTTGTTTTCATGTTAAAGAGCATGAGAAGAAGAGGACCATCCACAGCGTGAAGTACAGAGAATGGAGCATCTGTACAACACTTCTCCTTTCACGGCTCCTTCGTCATCCTCTGCCAGTCCCTCTACACTTCTACCCAACACGTTGCACTTAACCATTTATGCTATATTTGAAAGTCAGTGACCAGAATGGGCACTGGTTTAGAGGCAGGGTACCACCATCATTAGAAGAAAGTGATGCAAAGCTGGCAGCATATTTTTATCATCCACTTTCTGCATTATTTTCTATCTTGTTGTTTCTAACACCACCTGTTTGTTCTGCCTTCTGTATCTCACTGGACCGTGCTACTTCCCTGCCTGAGGCCTAACAGAGCAGCTGGACACCCGGGGCAGTGCAATGCACAGAGGCAGCAGCAACTTCTAGATGCTACCGTGTTGCCGATGCAGCTGCTGCCCATCGCTCTGCCTTAGTTATGCTACTGCTGCCTACAACAGAGCAGAAAGCTTTCTCCTGAGATGATCCTACAAATTCAGAACCCAGCGGGAGAAGGGATTAGATTTCTCCTGTTCCCCACACAACATCATCTTAAATATAGCCAAGTGAATTTCTATTTGTCAGGGAGCTGCCCAGCCCTTAAATTTCTTAGGACTCCACAGAGATCCACTGTTTTGACATATGTAATTAGCAGTACTCTGTATAATTACTGCATTTACCCAATCCAGGATGACTTTGAATAAGATGGCTCTCCCCTCAATAATTAGATTCTATACACGGAAAATTATAAATTTGTTATAATTTCCTATGTACAGAATCAAATTACTGAAGGGTTGCCTTAAACTTGTCCGTCCGTCCCCCCTACCGCTGTGATGGGGAAAGCATCCATGTGGGGGAGGAGGGCAGCCTGACTCTCCATCTGGTGTCCCTCCATTCGCGGACACCCTCACCCCACAGACCCACATTGCCACCCAGCTCCTGGACCAGGATCCACCGCAGCTGCTGCCGACTCCAGGCTGTGGCCCTGCCCCCGGTGCCAGGGTTGCAGCAGCCACCTGCCTCGGGCTGATACCTGAATCCAAGATGGGTCCCCCGGGGAAACCTCATCTTGGATTTGAGTAAATGCAGCACCATGCCCAGACTGGTACCCACTGCTACGTACACTGTAGTCAGGCTCTGCATCCATTTATGAAAAAGAGTTGAAACAGAAGGATCTGGAAGGCATAACCTTTCAGTTCTTCCATCTCACCAAGCCCGGGTACGACCTGGCTTGAACTACCCTTTCCAAGGCTGGTTGTAGCAAACAAACCCTCCCAGGAGAGGCTTAAGCTGCTTCTCCCTTCAGAACACTGCTAGTTCCTTTACTGCTTCGTGGTGCCAGGCTACTGGCAGTAGCCCCGCTCTGAATGATTTCTAATGAAAATGTTGTCTAAGGCAGAGTGTTAGGAGCCAAGCCTCCAAGCCAAGCATGAAAAGAAGCCAACTGCAAGGCACATATTTAACTCCTTAATGAGGTTGCGTCTATCATATCTTCCCCTCGTCGGGGCTCCAGTACAGTGCCCCACGCTGCTCCTGGACTATCTGAGTTTTAAGCTACATCCTAAGAGCTCAGTGTTGTTAAACACAAAATTCTTGTTCTAAGGCCAAACCCAAGCGGTTGCGCGTGTCTCCAGAGCTAAATCTAACAACACTAAGAGTTCAGTGATCGGGACACAGCGAATGATGCAAACAGGTCTGCGGTTCAAGGTGTGGAAATAACCCAGTGCTGATGTCAGGGGGGAGAGGGCACAGAGAACACTTCCCATTGCATGCTGAGGTGCCTGCTGAGCTTCAGAAGAAAACCAATTTGCTTACAAGGTTTATTTGATATCGCAGGTTTTGTGTAAACAAGAAACCACTAACTCAACTCCATGGACGAAAATGTGAGTGACTCAACTTCCTCCCTCCACGTTTAAGCTGCAGGGATCAAGGTGGGCAGCTCAGGAAGAGCGAAGCATGGAAGCAACTCCTTTGGTCAGATCAGGGACTGTTCTGAAAGACCTGAGAGCCGTGTCTAGCCCCCCTCAGCTGGAGTACCCAACCTGCCCTTGTGTAACATGGGGCTGTCTTCCTGTTTGCCAAGCACCAACAGGACATTCAGCGCTACGCGAAACATAAAAATAAGGACAGATGATCAGTTCTTGGGCCCAAGGACTAGCAGACCAATGCAGAGCAAGTAGGACAGAACTGGGAGGTTCGAACAGAAGGGAATAACGTGAGGTGACTTAACAAGGTTTGTGTTTTGTTTTAAAGTCTTATTTCTTGCACTTGGCACAGAAAACTAAAGTCCTTGGGAAGGATTTAGAATGAGCCAAGTGCGACTGCCTGCTGGCCAAGGCTGGGAGGGTATTCCACACACAGCACAGGCAGCAGCATGCCTCCAGGAACCACCCACACTCAAAGAAAGTCAGCTCTCTTTTCCCTTCTGTCTGCTGGTGGGTTTCTTCATTAGGGTTAGCCAAGGGAAGGGCAGCTCAAGCTAGCCAATGCAGTTAGAAGTGAGTGGTATAGTTAGGCCAATGCACTGGCTTTTCACATCACTTCCTTTATTTCAACTCGTTTCAGCACAGAAACACAGCCGAGTGCTATAGGAACAGACTTCCAGCAGAGAATTGGCATTTCCTGGTTTCCGTGGATGAAGAACTGAGGGGACATTTATTTATATGCCGTCCTTCTCAACGAAGGCTCAGAGTGACTTGCAACAAAAGAAAAAAAATAAATTATAAAATAGGAGAGAGAGCAGAACAAGACAACTTAAAAACCAAGCATCCCTTTGTGAAAATAAACCAGGTTCCAAAGCATCACGCTGTCATGAGCAGAAGGACCCAGGGAACAGAAAGGCAAGAGTCTCCTGCAGCCCCCCTTCTCCTTACAGCAGAAGTCTGAACCAGGCAGGAAGCCTTCTGGTAACTCCGACAGATTCACTGTGACAAGGGAGACTCACTTAACTCCAGGCCAGACATGAAGGCAGACAAAATGGCTCTGGCCAGAGCAAAATTTGGTGTGCACAGAAGCTAGACGTAGATGCGACCAAATGAAGTAGATAAGGTGTGCCAGGATGTGTCCATTGCTCTTGTGGGACAACACACGACATCTTCCCTGCTTACAGATCCCCCAGACATTTTGGAGCACATCTCCAGAAGAGGGGAAAGCTGGGCAGGCGCTCTCAGGGCTTGAGGGGCCCAATCCTATGTGGGAATTAAGGGGTGGGTGGGATCGAGCCCCTCAAGTCCTCAGAGTGCCTACCCAGCTCTGAGCTGTCCGCACTCTCATGCCATAAAGCCAACAGACCCAATAAAGCAGTGGAAACTATTACCACCTCTGTCACAGCCACAAATGTGGGACACGTGTGCCATGACAAAAAGTATAGATGTCTGTCTGCTTATCCTTTGTGCTGGCAGAAGAACTGTTATGGCAGCACAAAGACAGTCTGTTTGCCACCAGAGAGAGGAACCGAGAGGCAGACAAGCCTATGGAGCAGGTCTGAGGAGTCTGCTGGAGCAGAGTGTGCATATCAGCAGCTTCCTATCCACAGAACATCGGGTTCAAGGTTACAGTCTGCCTAAAGACACTTCCCTTTTCCGTGAACAACTCGTACCCCCAGCGGCTGGAGGGGCAGGGTGGCAGCGGCAGCAGGAGCTCCTGTA